GAGTGAAAAATTTAAGGGGGTCTGAATACTTTCCGTACCCACTGTATAACATATGTGAAATTACCCTGTAGAAGATCTATACAGGTGGAGCAGGTGGGGAAGGTGGAGGGTTTCTGAAGCACACTGCAACTGCTACGGAAAGCTCTAGCCAAGTATTTGAATGTTGAGCAGCAAGCAACCTATCAGCGTGTGCCATCCAGAATTTCATGACAAATCTTTGTATATATTTTTAATATGTGTTGATTTGTTGATTTAGAATTTTTATTGGTTGGTTTTTCATTTTGTTTGGTTTCTCATATCACTTTTATCGTTTTTTCATCATCAAATGCCCTTTTACATTGCTGATTGTAGCACTTCCTTCACTATCCCTTATGCCCACACTAAATTATTACAGTGCACATTGGTGTGTGTTCATCTGCCGGTAACATGCTCAGTGTTAACTGTGATGTAATTAGACTATTTGAGGGTTGCAGCTCATCACAAAGCATGACTGTTCTTACTCTATTATAAGGTCACATTCTCAGTCATCTGCACTCTAATGGAAATACCAGTGCAGGGCTCCAGACTCATTCTTCCCACTGGTCGCTCTTTTGCAACTAACTTTCTCAGCTGGTCGCACGAGCACATGATTTGGTTGCAATATTGTTTTTTTTTTTTTTTTTTTTTGCGCTACAACATGGGATTATTCAATGCATGCTGATGAACTTTTATCATAGTTTATAATTATATGGAAACGAAAGTGGTTAACATTCAACCTGTTCTTTATCATCAGTAGTATTATTTGCAATTTGAATTTTGTGAATTGGAGTTTCTCTTTTGCTGTGATAAGACGCGGGCTTCGGATGCTTCGAATTCGCGATCTTGTTGTCACTGTACGTTTGCTTACATACATCTACACACCTTTCATTTTTTTAAGACTAAAACAAAAGATGGATTCATTGTTATTCTTAATTAAAAAGCACAACAACAATAAATCAGCAAGATACAATGACAAACTAGCTTACAAAACGTTTATTAACAAAAACGAATAAGATGGCACACACCACATGCTGTATTATATACCGACTAATAAATTACAGAACGTTTAGCAAACACTGAGGAATCAAATAAATAAATAAAAGAGAGCCTCCGTAACGTAATGTGAGGTAAATAGCAATGATAACAAGTTTTTCAAAAATGAAAACAAAAAGAAAAGTAAAACTAATGGTGATAGTGCTTGGATGTTTTTCCCCCACAAGAATACCAGCATGTTCACCTTCTCTGGTTTAAGAAGCTGTCTTTTACTTGACTTTAGCATCCATCGTTTCCTCAATATGCGTGTCATTTTTGCTGCGCGCACCTTCGCGCTCGTGCTGACGTGGCGAGTATACTCTCCAAGCGCTGTTTCGTTATGCTTTCAGTTTCGTTTGCCGTTTGATGTTTCTCATATGCAACAGAAATTGCAGCGTTTATGAGTTGACCAACGCGGTGGTCGCAGTCTGGAGCCCTGCAGTGTGTCACAGTATGACCTGTCCGCTGTTTTTATGACATACACAGCATATCGTTAAACCCAGATTTATCTCTGCTGTCATGGACGGTTTCATCTTGAGACTGATTTGACTCTAGCGTTCTTGTCAGGAAAACATGTTTGATGGTGATACCAAAAGAAGAGGCAATGTTTAGGTGCATTTTTATGGCTCAGAGCCTGGATGATTGGACTAGCTTTAGAAATCTGTCTGACATTACCTTCTTCTAGTCATCTTTAGAGTAAGAGGCTCAGGCTAGGACAGTTACTCTACTGTTTCTGTATGTCACCAAATTTGCTCAAGTTAATCTCGGCCTGCATTGACTTTGTGAAGATTGATTTACTCTTATGTCTGTCTATACTCTTAGAACTGTCTACATTCATGCCAGGATTTAAAGTGTTCTTTGCTAGCTAGGCAAGAAAAGAAGCAGGCAGGAATGTGAAGAGCAGTATATGAGAGGAATGACAAAGTAATACAGATTACAGTCTAGTACAGACAGATACTGCGGATACTGACTCCCTTTGTCAAGAGGAAAAGCGAGTGAAAGTAGAGGAAAAAGATAAGTGAAAGGGCCATGGCCTACAGTGGCTACCCCTAAAAATATACATTTGCAAACTAGCAATGCTCAAACTTTTTAGTGGAAGTATGACGTTAGTTCCCCTTTACATACAAACCATGAAGTTCAGGTACAATATGAGCTCTTTCTATTTACCAGATTTCTGAGATCTATGTGAGCGGTGAGTCAGGGGACCTCACGGCGAAAGAGAAGCTGCTAATATGGAGTCAACAGGCAACAGAGGGCTACCCCGGTCTGCGTTGTGCCAATTTCTCCTCCAGCTGGAGCGATGGACGCTTGTTCAACGCTCTTCTGCACAGATACAGGTTCACACATTAAAACATAATGAATGCTCAGTTTAAAAGGATAGACGGACATTAGGGCATCTAACCCTCATTATCTCGTGGCATTGTGATTTTTAGGCCGGACCTGATTGACATGGAAGTGGTTGCGCAACAGAGTAACCGTGAGAACCTGGAACAGGCCTTTGAGATTGCGGAGTCATTAGGTGTAACGCAACTTCTAGATGCTGAAGGTAACATTGGTGTCGTATCTGTCTTTAGTTTTCATCCATTCTACATATAGGAAGTATTATGTGCTAAACTCCATTTGACTTGGATCATCATTCACTCATACTTTTTATTCTCTCTCTACATCAGATGTTGATGTGCTGTCGCCAGATGAGAAATCTGTCATCACATACGTCTCCTCCATCTACGATGCTTTCCCCAAGATCCCAGAGGGTGGAGAAGGCATTGCAGCTCATGTATGTTCACTTCACAGTGCACTCACTCTCTTCAAGCTGTACCTTCTTTCTCTATTGTACTTAATGTAATTTGTCTTTCATTCTCATTCCTTGTTTTCTCTCATATGGTTTCTGTTGTTCAGGAGGTTGACCAGCGATGGACAGAGTACCAGTCTGGCTTTTCTTCTCTGCTGCAGTGGACCAGGCAACACACGGCCCTCATGGCCAACAGGAGCTTCCCCCACAATCCTGTGGAACTCAAGGTAAGAAACATGAGGGAAGGAGAAGCTGAGAGAAGAGAACTGGATTCCACGAAGAAGGGAAGGGTTTAAGTTTGGGTCAACAATAAATTCCTGTTTTTATTTGGCAAGAACACATTCAGATCAAAGATGCCATTCATAATGTTACAAGAGATTGTTCTTTCTATTCATCAAAGAATTCTGAAAAAAAAAAATGTAGCATGGTTTCTGCATAAATATTAAGCAGTGCAAATGTTTTCAACATTGCTAATAATAAGAAATGTTTCTTAAGCACTAAATCAGCATATTAGAAGGATTTCTGAAGGATCATGTCACACTTAAGACTGGAGTGATGATGCTGAAAATTCAGCTTTGCCATTACTGGTATAAATTACATTTTAAAATATATAAAAATAGAAAACGGTTATTTCAAACTGTAATAATATTGAACAATATGACTGTTTTTACTATATTTTTGATCAAATAAATACAGCTTTGGTTAATGTTTTGGAACAATCTGCATCCATATGCCACAAATAGGGACTCTTTGATTTCAATAGAGTTTGATGTAAGCATGTTGCTAAGCTAACAGAACAATATATTCTTATAAACAAAATTCACAGCACACACAGATATTGGGTAAAATAATCCAATACTTTTCAGTATTGAATAAAATGTTTATTTAAAATACATCATTATTTATTGCTGTGCATTCTAGGATTGCTTTCTTTATGAAGGATACTGCTAAAAAGAGGTCTCTTACAAGGCAGCATATTCACTCAAACAGCCATTGTGTCTGGAACAAACCTGTGATGCCTTAAATTGCTAATTACCATTTGATGTGTCCTTTACTTGGCTGTTTACCAAAAGTGTTGTCTTCCCCAGGCACTTTACAATGAATATGTCCACTTCAAAGAAACCGAGATCCCTGCGAAGGAGAGAGAGAAGAGCCACATCGAGCACCTTTACAAGCTTCTGGGGGTGAGATAGACTTTTACGAAGATAAAAAGAGAGAGATTGAGGCTGACCTTGATTCTGCAGCTAAATGCAGGCGACACTGTTCACAAGAGGCACACAGCTGCACATTAACAGATTCAGGCTAATGTAGAGCGCAACGCTGGCATGTGGGAGAGGTGGAAGATTGACAGTATAAAGGGAACACACATGCACACACTCAAAAACACTAGGAAAGCATCTTTTCATGTTAAAATGATTGATGTTTGTGGATGTTGTTTAGGCGTGGATAGAGTTCGGGCGCATTAAGCTGCCTCAAGGGCTACACCCTAATGATCTGGAGGAGGATTGGGGAAAACTGATCCTGGAGATGTTGGAGAGAGAGAAAGCACTGAGGCCTGCTGTGGAGAGGTTAGTGAGTCCACGTCTAGAAGAGATGATTGCTGCATTTAGAATTGTAGCTATTTGAAAGGATTTTTTAATGTGTCATTTGTACGTAACTTTGTTCTTAGGTTGGAGCTACTCCTACAGAAGGCCAATAAGATCCAGAACATGGCACTAGATTGTGAGGAGAAACTCACGCTGGCGAAGAACACTTTGCAGACTGTAAGTATGGGAGTAGAGTTTGATGTTAACTGCTAGGCTAGATGGCACACAAATACTGAGTAGAATAATCAGTTTTAATTAGAATTAAATATTTTGATTTCTATATTTCAGTATTTGAAATAAACAGAAATAGATTAGTACTACCGTGAAGGATAAAGGCAGTGCTGCCTTAGAATAATCCCTAAAGAACGTTTGGGTAACACTTAAGCATAGGGACGAATTCTCACTATCAACTAGTTGCTTATTAGCGTGCCTATTATTAACATATTGGCTGTTTATTAGTGCTTATAAAGCACATATTCTACAACCCTAGTCCTACCTTAAACTTAACAACTATTTTACTATCTATTAATAAGCAGCAAATTAGGAGTTCATTGAGGCAAAAGTCACAATTAATGGTTTGTTAATGGCGAGAATTGGACCTTAAAATAAAGTGTGACCTTGCTTGGATATTTGTCATTCAGAAATGTTTTGTGCTTCATTGTCTTCTGTCTTTCCTCAGGACATGTCTCAGCTAGAGAATGGGCAGCCGGTACGGTTTGAGAATGAATTGGGGATGTATCTGCAGGACTGTGAGGCTTTAGTCAGACAGCTTCATCTTGACCTGCAGGTCCTCAGAGATGAGAAGTACTATCAAGTGGAGCAGCTGGCTTTCAGGTAAGAGGAAGAAAAAAATGTGTGCGAAAAGCAGGCCACAGAGCGGAATTAGAGGCAAGAATGGCTATGATTTTATTCTTGCTGACAGTTATTTAAAATAGATTATTCCCAGTTATTTGTATGACAATTAATTGTCAGCCAAAAGATTTTTGTTCATATTGTTGCCATTCTTTTTGAGAATGTCCATTACCATTAAAAATGTTGAGGTCTGTAAGATTTTTTTTATACAATCGAACCAAAATTTATTTAGACACCTTCAACGTTTCTCACATTATCACAGTTTATTCGCTATAGTTTAGAAAATTGTTATCAAATATGACACGAACTCAGAGTTAAACTGTTTCAGAACAAATTCATCTTGATAATGTCAGATAACTTTGATAGAAAGGTATGTAATGAATTAGGTTGAATAGCTGTCAGCTGTTAAATTTAAGTACACAATTAGATAATACCAATTTAGGTCAACCACTTACCAAGCAATGCTTAATTTTGTTCAGTCTGAGTGTAAAAGGGTTGCATTAGCAATTAAAGAAAAAACACTTAAGCAAAACATGTTGAGATTGCGGAGTCATTAGGTGTAACGCAACTTCTAGATGCTGAAGGTAACATTGGTGTCGTATCTGTCTTTAGTTTTCATCCATTCTACATATAGGAAGTATTATGTGCTAAACTCCATTTGACTTGGATCATCATTCACTCATACTTTTTATTCTCTCTCTACATCAGATGTTGATGTGCTGTCGCCAGATGAGAAATCTGTCATCACATACGTCTCCTCCATCTACGATGCTTTCCCCAAGATCCCAGAGGGTGGAGAAGGCATTGCAGCTCATGTATGTTCACTTCACAGTGCACTCACTCTCTTCAAGCTGTACCTTCTTTCTCTATTGTACTTAATGTAATTTGTCTTTCATTCTCATTCCTTGTTTTCTCTCATATGGTTTCTGTTGTTCAGGAGGTTGACCAGCGATGGACAGAGTACCAGTCTGGCTTTTCTTCTCTGCTGCAGTGGACCAGGCAACACACGGCCCTCATGGCCAACAGGAGCTTCCCCCACAATCCTGTGGAACTCAAGGTAAGAAACATGAGGGAAGGAGAAGCTGAGAGAAGAGAACTGGATTCCACGAAGAAGGGAAGGGTTTAAGTTTGGGTCAACAATAAATTCCTGTTTTTATTTGGCAAGAACACATTCAGATCAAAGATGCCATTCATAATGTTACAAGAGATTGTTCTTTCTATTCATCAAAGAATTCTGAAAAAAAAAAATGTAGCATGGTTTCTGCATAAATATTAAGCAGTGCAAATGTTTTCAACATTGCTAATAATAAGAAATGTTTCTTAAGCACTAAATCAGCATATTAGAAGGATTTCTGAAGGATCATGTCACACTTAAGACTGGAGTGATGATGCTGAAAATTCAGCTTTGCCATTACTGGTATAAATTACATTTTAAAATATATAAAAATAGAAAACGGTTATTTCAAACTGTAATAATATTGAACAATATGACTGTTTTTACTATATTTTTGATCAAATAAATACAGCTTTGGTTAATGTTTTGGAACAATCTGCATCCATATGCCACAAATAGGGACTCTTTGATTTCAATAGAGTTTGATGTAAGCATGTTGCTAAGCTAACAGAACAATATATTCTTATAAACAAAATTCACAGCACACACAGATATTGGGTAAAATAATCCAATACTTTTCAGTATTGAATAAAATGTTTATTTAAAATACATCATTATTTATTGCTGTGCATTCTAGGATTGCTTTCTTTATGAAGGATACTGCTAAAAAGAGGTCTCTTACAAGGCAGCATATTCACTCAAACAGCCATTGTGTCTGGAACAAACCTGTGATGCCTTAAATTGCTAATTACCATTTGATGTGTCCTTTACTTGGCTGTTTACCAAAAGTGTTGTCTTCCCCAGGCACTTTACAATGAATATGTCCACTTCAAAGAAACCGAGATCCCTGCGAAGGAGAGAGAGAAGAGCCACATCGAGCACCTTTACAAGCTTCTGGGGGTGAGATAGACTTTTACGAAGATAAAAAGAGAGAGATTGAGGCTGACCTTGATTCTGCAGCTAAATGCAGGCGACACTGTTCACAAGAGGCACACAGCTGCACATTAACAGATTCAGGCTAATGTAGAGCGCAACGCTGGCATGTGGGAGAGGTGGAAGATTGACAGTATAAAGGGAACACACATGCACACACTCAAAAACACTAGGAAAGCATCTTTTCATGTTAAAATGATTGATGTTTGTGGATGTTGTTTAGGCGTGGATAGAGTTCGGGCGCATTAAGCTGCCTCAAGGGCTACACCCTAATGATCTGGAGGAGGATTGGGGAAAACTGATCCTGGAGATGTTGGAGAGAGAGAAAGCACTGAGGCCTGCTGTGGAGAGGTTAGTGAGTCCACGTCTAGAAGAGATGATTGCTGCATTTAGAATTGTAGCTATTTGAAAGGATTTTTTAATGTGTCATTTGTACGTAACTTTGTTCTTAGGTTGGAGCTACTCCTACAGAAGGCCAATAAGATCCAGAACATGGCACTAGATTGTGAGGAGAAACTCACGCTGGCGAAGAACACTTTGCAGACTGTAAGTATGGGAGTAGAGTTTGATGTTAACTGCTAGGCTAGATGGCACACAAATACTGAGTAGAATAATCAGTTTTAATTAGAATTAAATATTTTGATTTCTATATTTCAGTATTTGAAATAAACAGAAATAGATTAGTACTACCGTGAAGGATAAAGGCAGTGCTGCCTTAGAATAATCCCTAAAGAACGTTTGGGTAACACTTAAGCATAGGGACGAATTCTCACTATCAACTAGTTGCTTATTAGCGTGCCTATTATTAACATATTGGCTGTTTATTAGTGCTTATAAAGCACATATTCTACAACCCTAGTCCTACCTTAAACTTAACAACTATTTTACTATCTATTAATAAGCAGCAAATTAGGAGTTCATTGAGGCAAAAGTCACAATTAATGGTTTGTTAATGGCGAGAATTGGACCTTAAAATAAAGTGTGACCTTGCTTGGATATTTGTCATTCAGAAATGTTTTGTGCTTCATTGTCTTCTGTCTTTCCTCAGGACATGTCTCAGCTAGAGAATGGGCAGCCGGTACGGTTTGAGAATGAATTGGGGATGTATCTGCAGGACTGTGAGGCTTTAGTCAGACAGCTTCATCTTGACCTGCAGGTCCTCAGAGATGAGAAGTACTATCAAGTGGAGCAGCTGGCTTTCAGGTAAGAGGAAGAAAAAAATGTGTGCGAAAAGCAGGCCACAGAGCGGAATTAGAGGCAAGAATGGCTATGATTTTATTCTTGCTGACAGTTATTTAAAATAGATTATTCCCAGTTATTTGTATGACAATTAATTGTCAGCCAAAAGATTTTTGTTCATATTGTTGCCATTCTTTTTGAGAATGTCCATTACCATTAAAAATGTTGAGGTCTGTAAGATTTTTTTTATACAATCGAACCAAAATTTATTTAGACACCTTCAACGTTTCTCACATTATCACAGTTTATTCGCTATAGTTTAGAAAATTGTTATCAAATATGACACGAACTCAGAGTTAAACTGTTTCAGAACAAATTCATCTTGATAATGTCAGATAACTTTGATAGAAAGGTATGTAATGAATTAGGTTGAATAGCTGTCAGCTGTTAAATTTAAGTACACAATTAGATAATACCAATTTAGGTCAACCACTTACCAAGCAATGCTTAATTTTGTTCAGTCTGAGTGTAAAAGGGTTGCATTAGCAATTAAAGAAAAAACACTTAAGCAAAACATGGTCCGGTCAAAGTGTCTGAATATTTTTTGGTCCCAAATTTTTATACATTTTACTGGTAGTCCACTGTATGAAGAGTCTTTTGGTATAATATGTTACAGTTCACTTTATTTTGCTATCCTCACTTACATAAATTAACTATAGTGTCCTGCACCCACTAGTAAAAAAATATCTAAAATTATATCTGGTGTCTGAATAATTTTGGTTTGACTGTATATTTATTTTTGAAAGACATCTCCTATGTTGACCAAGGCTGTATTTAAATAATCAAAAATGCATTAAAAACATTGTGAAATGTTATTACAATTTGATTTATCTAATTTATTCCTGTGAATTTATTCCTGAATTTTCAGCTACCATTAGTCCAGTCTTCAGTGTCATATGATCCTTCAGAAATCATTCTAATAGGCTGATTTGTTGTCTGATTTATGTTGAAAACCATTATGCTGCTTAATATTTTTTGTAGAAACCGCAATACATGTTTTTTATTTATGATCCTGAGGTCTTTTCTCTCTTGTAGGGTGTCCGGTCTGCAGGAGGAGCTGGTTTCTTTGCGCCTGCAGTGTGCCAGTGTGTACAGGAAGGGTCATTTCTCCACAGGGGGTCTGCTGGGAGAGCATGTGGGTCAGAAGGGTTCCTCGGGCGGTCTGGGTACACTGGGAGCACAGACACTTCTGGGTGCAGTGGGTGCTGCGGCGTCCCTGCTCAGACGGCCGATGTCTCGTGCAGACCTGGTAGCCATGTCTTCATCTGAGGACGAAGGCAGTCTGCGCTTCATCTACGAGCTGCTGGGGTGGGTGGAAGAGACGCAGGACCTGCTGGAGCGAGCCGAGTGGGGTTCTGATCTACCCTCTGTAGATCAGCACCTGCAAGACCACCACATCATTCACACAGCAGTGGAAGATCTTCTGAATAGCCTCAAAGGGGCTCGAAACTATGAGGTACATGAACTGTCACACACCTCTCACACACATTCTGATGTAGTCTCAGAAATGCAATACAATTTGTGACTCTGAAAAAACATTTAGGCCTGAGTAAAGCTCATGAATGGTTGTATGCAGGGTCCAAAATTAGAAGTAGTGTGAATAGACTCCAGGAGCAATACTGCACGCTTTTGCATAAGCAATAATTTATTTCTTCATGTTCTCTCTCCCCCAGTCAAGGGTCTCGCCTAATTTACATAGCAGTTACTCTGAGACTCTATCCAAGCTGGAGAACCAGTATTGCAAACTGCTGGTGAGTTTTTCTGCTTTAGCATTATGATAAGCAGGCATATGTGAGTGTATTTGAGTTCATTATACAGTGCATTATGGATATTACGGTTTTCTAATCTCATTAGGGTGTGACAGAGTGTGTCCTTACAAAAGCAGAATACTGAATGCTTGAGTGTGACATGCATAAGAGTGCTGTAAAACACCTGCTCTTGACAATAAATCCACAGCCACACATGTCTCCTTAATTTAACCGAATCAATTTTCCATGAAAACCTGCAATTGTTCAAAAGACCCGTGAGGCCAATTCGCCAAGGGTGCTTTGCTTACCTCGGGAAAAGCACCAGACTGAGCAGTTGCCCGTGTCATATGGGCAATGTTATGTATGTTGTTTTGTGTTGTCGCAGGAACATTCATCATGGCGACTGCGCTGCCTAGAGAGCCTTCGAGCTTTTGTGTCCCACTGCACTGAGGAGCTGATCTGGCTCAATGAGAGGGAGGAGGAGGAGCTGGCCTTCGACTGGAGCGACAGCAGCACCAACATGGCTGCCAAAAGAGCGCAATATGCTGTAAGACTCCATCTATAGAAAGATGCAGTAGTCATCATACTACCTCTGGCCACTACATTTCCTTTACTGATTTAGAGATGTTTTTTGCCTTTTTACATACAAATGAGTTTAATGGATTATCAAAAAACAAGAAATGTAGAGCAGTACCTGGTTCTGTGCATTGGTTGTTGATTGGATTTTGGAATGGATTTGATGAATCTTTCACAATAAGATCAATAAAATGCATTTACAAATTAGATTAGGTGAATTTAATGTTGTTACAGTTGGACATTACGTTGTTTTGGATTTGAGTAATATCTCAAATTCTCCTTACTCTCTCTTAGGACATGAGGTCAGAGCTGGAGGAAAAACAGGAAGTGATGCGCTCTCTCCAGGAGACAGCTGATCGCCTGTGTCATGAGAACCACCCAGCCAAACAAACAGTGGAGGTGAGCTGTTGACCAGTATGAACAATCTTCACTCACTGACCTAAAAATAGGCTGCATTCACACTGCAAGTCTTAATGCACAGATCTGATCTTTTGACCATATCCGATTTTTTTTGGCCCACCTGTTTACATTCACTTCAGACACAACTGGCAGTGTTGGGGAAAGTTACTTTTAAAAGTAATGCATTACAATATTGCGTTACTCCATAAAAAAAGTAACTAATTACGTTACTTGGTTACTTTTTATGGAAAGTAATGCGTTACGTTACTTTTGCGTTAGTTTTAAATCTGGACAGGGCTTGCTTGTTTGTTTTTAAAATAAGGAAGTTATATTTTTGGCAAATATAAAAGCCTTTTCACACCAAAAGTGAAATAAATAAGCCTCAGGCTGAAGGGAAAGTAAATTTAGGTCCGTACAGCTGAATGCAGAAGAAGAAATTTCAACACACTTCAGCAATAAAAAAGTCACAAATGTTTGTCTAGAGTAATTTGTGCTTATTAGTATGATTGAACTGGATCATCGAAGGTCAGAAGCAAAGCCATTGGTTAATAGAATGGAATTAAATACATAAAGGATATTTGTGTTGTTTAACATTTAATTATTGCAGGTTTGCGTCATATTCTGAGTTGCATTATTTTTATCAATTTTGAGGAATCTGTTTTTTTTTTTTTTGAGTGAGATTAATTAATGCATATTCACATTTATTTTAGAGTTACAGTAACATCTTCTGATTTCTCTCAACATGGGGACAGGAGAGCTGTCAGTCAGTAAATTGGAAAAAAAAAAGTAACTTGCGTTACTTATTTGAAAAAGTAACTCGTTACTTTACTAGTTACTTGAAAAAAGTAATCTGATTACGTAACTCACGTTACTTGTAATGCGTTACCCCCAACACTGACAACTGGTATCCGATATCTGTGTTTACATTAATTCCTGAAAAAAAGATTGTCAGTGATCGCTTTACTATGCACATGGGTTTTGAATGGCTGTGCTATTAAAATGATTTATAGAATTCACGTCGAGTAACCATTATTATTTACCAGCATGGACAACAGCTGTCATGGATGTTTTGCAGCACAAAATCTGACTGAACAGATAAAGACTGGAAAATAACAGTGATTTTCATTTATTTTATCTACAGCTCGTTAGAGGTAGAATTCTTTATTGAAATAAAGTAGCACCAAAGTGATATTTATTTAAATGAATTCCAATGAATTAACCAGAGAGATATTGGATATGTATCCAATTAAAATCCACATTCGGAAATGGCCCAGATCGGATGCAGAAATAATCGGATCTCGTGCAGGTTTTTGTGTTTACATGTGTGCAACAAATTCCGATCTGTGTCAGATGTGAGCAAAAAATCAGATTTTTTTGTGCCAGTGTAAAAACAGCCATAGTTTGATATCAGATTTGGAACCAGATTTGGTCGTGACCTGTTGACCCTCTGATCACAGGCTTACAGTGCTGCCCTGCAGACGCAGTGGCAGTGGATCAAAGAGCTCTGCATATGTGTGGAGCAGCATCTCAAGGACAACACTGCCTACTTCCAGGTACTTTTCAATGGAATAGCATTCAAAATGACATTTTTAACATGGGGTTTTAATGACATGTTTTTGTTTAATAGTTTACGAGTGATGCACGGGACTGTGAAAGCTATCTACGTCAACTACAAGACACCATTAAGAGACAGTACACCTGTGATAAGAACAGTAGACTCGGTAGACTGGAAGACCTGCTGCAGGACTCCATGGTGGGTCTTTCTTCTTATTTAAAAAAAACAGCTTTAAACATATTTTACGTATTTTATTTTTATTTATTGAATAACAATTCTGATTATGCTGAAATAGCACTGGTCGTAGGAGATTTTATGCTTTATACGTAGTTAAGGAATGTGAATATTTGAGCACAGTGAGTGCACAGGAGGTGGTGAGTGTCCTCACATGTGACAGATGGCACTATGAGAGAGGAGTTGCACAAGAGCAGGCAGAGCGATGGGCATATCCTCTCTGGCCATACGGAAGAGAGACCCAGTCTGGCACAAGTGCATTGGAGTTCAACAAGGGAATGAATGCAGTTAAAAACTAGATCGAAGCTGGGATAGATTATCCTCTTAATTTTATTTGAATTTTTTTTAAAGTACAAACGAGTAAAAATAACACATTCCTAGTGATCCACCAGCACTGGCTGTTATTCACACAGCTGAATTTAATATTTTAAAAATGTACTGTACTTAATACTATTATTACTATTTTTTTCCAATTAACATGCGACTAATTAATTGCTTGGTTTTTTTCTCTTTAAAAACAAAAAAGTAATCATGCCATCATATTAAGAAAATGTTCTAGAATTGTTGCATTAGCTCATAATTAAACAAGCATCATCAAACCGTTTGTTCAGAATTAGGCATACTTTATTTAAAATATTTATGTTAGACATAAACTTGAACCACTTTTTCTTGCTCTCCCTGGGGATGATTTTAATTAAGCATTTGATGTCTCAAAAAAATGTTGATATGCCAAGTAACAATTGATAGCCCTCAAATAAGGTTTGGCTTGTTTGCCATAATTTCACCTTCTTTGTAGCTCTAAAAATCAATTCTAACCACATGCTGGTATGCAGTCAAATTTAATATCACATGTTAAATTCTTGCAGCGAGTGTAATGTTATTAGCTCTTCCTGTCAGCCTCTGCTTCCCAAAGTCAGAACTAATGAGTCCCTCATGAGCTTTTCATGGAAGTGTCATACCACATACTCATTAATTTTAGCACAATGAAAGCTAAGCAAATAATAACCCAGGAAAGAATATCAGTGATGTCCTTTCATTTTCTTAAAGCTATTTCAAAAGTCATTAATCTATTATAGTGAGAGAAAACAAATATTTATCATCATGAAAGCACATTTACGTTGAGTTTGTTTGACACGGGCAAGGAAAAACAAGTATTATTGGAAGAAAATCCAATTATGCTGACTATGCAGAGGCTGAATTCAAACAAATTATTTGAAGTATTCTGATTAATGCATTTAAATATTTATTGAATTAAGAGTTTATTGAACAATATTTGTTCTGTCTGAAAAAATTCATTATGGCCATTAATAGTGCAACATCAAGTTACTCTTCATATTTTACTGCTGTTATCTGTTTGGCTGCTTGATTGACTTTCTTATGTTTTATTTTTCAGGAGGAGAAAGAACAATTGATTGAATACCGCAGCACAGTGGCCAGCCTTGTAGGCCGAGCCAAGTCTGTAGTCCAGCTCCGTCCACGCAGTGCAGATAGTAACCTAGGCACCACCACGCCAATTCGTGTCATCTGTGACTACCGACAAATAGAGGTATAACATGCTCCAGATATCTCACCATCACAATTTGCTTTGCCTTAATTTACCACATCTCAACCCTGCATTGATCTTTTTGCTCTTGAGAACTGAGCTAAGATCACATTTGGGATATTAAAGTGATCCTAATTCAGTTTTTCTGAGTTTTACGTTTGTAGCCCACTCCTGCCCCACCTGAACAGAAAGTCTTTTAGCTTTTACATCACTAGCCAGAGTCTGTCCACACATATTTAGTCATAAACCGCCCTGGAACTGTGAAGGCAAGTATAATGGGAAAAGGTGCCATTGACCAAAATATATCCAGAAGATCTGTCCTGTGTTTGCCCATTTAGCTGTTAGCAAAGAATTCTGGGAAAGTGGGGGTGTGGCATATCATGAGTGATGAACAGACATGCTATAGCATATCTAATCTACCAATTTGAATATATGACGCTCTTCATTCACACATCAAATGATGAAATGAGATGCTGTCATTTATTGAATATTAATTTGAATGCAGAATACTCATAAACGCTCATTCACTCTCCCAGCTGTGGCCCTGTTTCTTTTCCTGATCATATTATCTCAGTCAGGCGAGGTCTGCTAAATGCCCAAAAGTAATCTTTTCTCCCTCCGTATCCCCGTCCCACCCCCCTTTTCTCTGCCCTCCCCCAATGTTCCTCCTTTGCCTTTTTCCCCATCATTGACCCCTGTCTTTCTCTCTCTGTTCCCCTCCTTCTCCCTTCCTCTTTATGTGTGTCTGCGGGGCTGGGCAAGGCCAACTCTCAGGTACTATTGCCGACCGTTCTCCTGCTCTGACCTTTGCTCTCTGGCCTGGCCCTGCACACAAGGGACCCCTGCTTTACCTCAGGCGCCCTGTACATTGTTAATGTGAAATAGCGCATTAATATTGTTAATTCTGTGTTTTTCTTCCAGCCCAATAAATCATTTATTTTCCATGGTGGGAGCATGTTGCATGTTGACTTGCGATTGCCATTTTAATTATATTGTATTTATCAGTCACAAACAGATGGTAACCCTCTGTCAGTCTGTAATTTCTTACCAATATGTAATATATTGCGAAGCATAAAGTTCTCTGTGTGCAAGGGATAGAGTGAGAGTTGAGGTGGGACACTAGAAAGTGCTCTCACATTATATTTGATTTTTAATATGCTTAAATCACTTGCTTTTCATTTTCTGTTGCCTTGAGGGTTATTGATGGCCTTTAGCTTTCATGTTAGCCTGGGCAAAATTAGGCTGAAAAAGCAACTGACATTTAAAATGAAAAAGATGAGTGCTTTTGAATTTTTTTTGCCAGGTCAGTTGTAAACATATGTTAGTGCAGTAAGGCATTATTCCATGAAATTAATATCTCACGTATTTCAGCTCATATGAAGGCCATTAGCATTAACATTTTATTCCTCATCCTTTGGTTAATATTTTGAATCCCTTTACTTTTTAATCAACATTGACCATCAGCTCAGTTTTTCAAATCCTCTCTCCCTTACCCGTTATGTTTTTTCCATCCCTTTTTCTGTCTCTCCATCTTTCTCTCTTTCTCAGATCACGATCAGCAAAGGAGAGGAGTGTGTACTGGAGGATAACTCTCAGAGGACTAAGTGGAAGGTCATCAGTCCTACAGGAAATGAGGCCATGGTGCCATCTGTGTGTTTCACCATTCCTCCTCCTAATCAGGAGGCCATCGACACTGCCAGCAGGTACAGCACACAGAACCTCACAGGTTCCTTACAAACACGTTAATTAGGATCTCATACACAAGTAGGAACATGTCTTCAGTAATGTGATAGTTTCAAGTGAAACAATGTATGGCATAGAAATACTACGTTTATGCTATGGACATGAACTACACACACACAAAATGTTTTCACTTTGGCCCAATAAGTAGCCACCCAGAATGCCGTAAGTATCAGCTGCTACCCTAGCATTTTAGTGGCAAGTTTTGAATGGGCAGACAAGTGCTGTTATTGTTAACCAAAATTAAAACTATAAAAAAAATTCATTGATTTAAAGGATAATTAAATGAAAATGTAATTAATTGAAATAAAGCTGAAATAAAATAAAAAATAATAGATGAAAAACGTAAACTTAAAATTTTCAATTAGAAATTTTTAAATAAAATAAATGTAGGTTGAAGTACAGTACTAAAATTATTCAAAATAAAGCTAAATAGACATTTAAAAAATGGAACAAGACAAAAGCACATAACAAAATGACTAATGACTTTACATTTAAAATGAAAACTGAGAATATAAAAATAAAAGCTAATTCAAAATATTAATAAATAAAACAATGGTGTGTCCACAATATTAAAATAGCACTGGGGCAAACACAACTTAATTTTTCTTGGGAAAATAAAATACTGTTTTGTTTTGTTTTGTTTTGTTTTTATTATTTTATTTATTTAGAATGATGATAGAGAACATGTATAGATCAGTGACTACAACACAAACATCAATTATCAAGAATGAAAAATTGCATACATTTTGTATTGTATTTGTATTATTTATTCAGCTTTCAGATGATATATACATCTTTTGTTGACCCTTATGACTGGTTTTGTGGTCCAGGGTCACATATTTGTTTTATTCAAAAACAGTTCTCTTAAACACAAAAACAAGTCAGGATTTTGCTACCTCAAAAGAAATGGATTGCTTTTCCACTATCTCTGACATTCACAAAAATTGCATTTTGCCCCCTAGTGGCAGTTGCACAGAACTTTCAAAATGGTTGTGCAAAAGCAGTTACCTTCTGCTTATTCACCAAGCTTAAATGAGTGAATAATAAAAGTATGAATATGTCCACACAAACAAATGACTGCATAGTACGTTTTCTAGGGCAAAAAATTGTTTTGGACATGATCACATTCTCCCATTTTACAGAAATAGTGTTTAAAGGGGTCATGAACTGCCTTTTTTATTATTTTGTACTGTTCTCTGAGGTCCCCTTATAATGTTAGAAAGATTTGTACATCAAACAACATCATTTAGAAGTAATAGGCTATTTTTGACCCCTCTCATCAGAAGGCTCTGTTTGAATACACGCGTCAGATTGTAGACTCGAGTCGGAAGTAAACCCTCACTGCTATGATTGGCTAACCGTTGTGTATGTTTGACATGGATGCTGCTGTGATTTAGGTCAAAAATGCATAAATACTCTGTTTAACAGACAAAGCAAAAGTGAGCAAGTAATAAAAACAGTTACTCTCACTTGTGTGTTGCGACATGACTGTCGGATCCAATATAGTCAGCACAGCATTGTCTTAGTTTCAATCTCTGAAAAACCTGCGTTGAATTGTGCCTTGTTTTTTCTAAACGAATCCGTAGTAAAATGAAGTGAACAAAACCAAGTTCTTACTCATGCAGTCTTGATCTTCAAATAAAGTTCATCCAAAGTTCATTTCTGATTGTTAGGATCAGATGGAAGGCAATGCAAAGACTGCTTTTCCACAACTTGGCACTGCACAGTGTCTTGTTGTCTTTGGAGCCATCTTTATCGCTTGGTTTCTGCATAGACCTGCATTCCCTCTCTCATTATTTACCTACTACATGCATGAATCGGTGGGCGGGGCTAAACAGGCAGTGATGTAGAAGCAGGTGTTGATCTTCTTCTGCGGAGGCGGGATTTAGCCACACTATTACGTCATAAATTGGCACATTCCACAACCTGTCTTTTTGGCAGACTGGCTTCAATATATGCTGTTTTTAGACTAACAAGAAAGTTTTGAGTTCTGAAACTTACAGGATGTTTTTATAGTACAATGACTTCCTATATGTCAAAAGATCAATGAATCATGACTCCTTTAAAGAATAACATAGTGTTTAAAGAATACTTCAAAATTATTGGTAGGCCTAATTCCAACCTCATGCTCATAGTTTTAATTGGAATACCTCACAACTGATTGGTGCGTTCAGTTGCAAAAGTTCAGTTTAAATATACCCAAAGCTCAAATCAGATCTGAAAACTCTGCAGATGCATATCATCAAAATTCCACGTAGCTCTGAAAATGAATAACTTCCAGTCTGTTGTTTGTTAGAGACAGTGGAAAGGCGACTTTACTGTTAACTTTTTGATTGCTTTTCATACTCTGTATGTCACGCTGTTGCAGAAATGGCATTCAGAGCTGGAGGAGCAGAATCACATATTCAAGAGTCTGAGTTTAGAGGTCCAGCAGGCTAGAGAGGTCGGAAACCAGCTCAACCAACTGCACCCTGACCGCAGCCCTGAACTGGACCGCTACCAGGAGAAAGCACAACAGCTCATAGAGAGGTGGAGCGGATTGAGCAGGCAAATGGAGACACGGTGAGTTGTTTCAAAGTCAAACTACCAATATTTTGGTAATATTCCAGATTATAACACAAATCATAATGTCCTACAGGCAAGCAGATCTGGAGATGCTGGGTTCGGTGCTGCAGCAGTACAGAGAAGGCCACACCTCTCTCATCCGCTGGATAGAGGAGACCACCGAAAAACAGGAGAACACACAACCCGAGCAGACGGACAGCAGAGCTTTGTCAGAGCAGCTCTGTCCTACAGGCAAGCAGATCTGGAGATGCTGGGTTCGGTGCTGCAGCAGTACAGAGAAGGCCACACCTCTCTCATTCGCTGGATAGAGGAGACCACCGAAAAACAGGAGAACACACAACCCGAGCAGACGGACAGCAGAGCTTTGTCAGAGCAGCTTGCACAGCAAACGGTGAGAGGCGACACTTATATTGATGAATACTTCCACGTGTTGTAAAACAGATCAGTGTTTGATTCAGTATCTGTTCTACTGTAGGCCTTGGTGGCTGAGATAGAACAGAACCAGGTCAAACTGGATGAATGCCAGACGTACTCTAAACAGTGCTGCGCTGCTGTTAAGGTAAGCACTCTGTCAAAGTGACTAGTGTCGGCTACTGCTTACTGCTAGTCATTATGGAGAAATGGAAACATAAACACTTGCTAAACAATATATATTTCTTCTCTTTCTTCTATTTTATGCATTAGGACTATGAACTCCAGCTTATGACGTTCAGAGCTTTTGTTGAATCAACCCAAAAGTCTCCTGTGAAAAGGAGGAGGATGCACTCTTCATCAGATGTCATCACACAGGAGGTAAATGCAGAAAAACCAGGCTCATATGACATTAATTTGAGATTTATATTAGTTTTCATGTTGACATCAAATGCTTTAATCACAATTTTCTACTGTGTCTTAGTTTATGGATTTACGCACGCGATACACAGCTCTGGTTACACTGACAACACAACATGTCAAGTATATTAGTGATGCACTACGGCGACTAGAGGAGGAAGAGGTGTGTTTTGCTTTTCTAAGCCTCCTACTTTAAGTTTTTTTACCTACTGTATACATGCACAAGTATTTGCATAATAAAGACAACATCAGATTTCATCATAATGTATGCTTAATGAAAATGTTTCCCCTTTGTGGTACAGAAAGAGGTGGAAGAGGAGAGGCAGGCACGAGTGGGCCAGGTCTCAGAGCTGCTCGGCTGGGCCAAGGGCCTACAGGAGCGTGCTGGCAGATCTGCCGAGCCATCACTTGCTGCACAGCAGGTACATTTCAAGTGTTGTCTATTAGAATATTACCTATTTTTAAGTACTCTACAGACAGTAGTGTATCAGTCAACACTGAGTAGATTGTATGTGTTAAGTGGCTTTGAAAATACTGTATCTGTCTAACTTCTAGGCTATTAGTGAGCAGTTAGCAGCTAAAAAAGAGGAAGTTGCTGAAGCTATCAGGAGCACCCAAGTCTTCCTGATGTCAAAACAGGCCAGCAAGTGAGTTTGCACTATACGACCTTCAACAGCGGTTCTCAGACTCTTCATACCAAGTGCTGCCAAGTCAGATCAATCAATGTCAGAGCATTTATTCCAGGTCACATTTGCTACAACTAAAAAATAAAGTCTTAATATTTTTAGTTTACAGTAACCCCAGGTCACTTGGGTTGTTCTGTATACAATAGTTTAAGAACAACTGCACTATATCCATATAAATGTCAAATATGTATGCACTTACTCAAACACAAACGCATACATTGTTATTAATGAAGCACATTTATCTTTAGGCTGTCTCCTGAAGAGCGCGCACAGGTGGTCTCCCAGCTGGATGAGCTGACGGCCACCTACACTCAACTGTGTGACAGTTCTGCCACACACTTGCAACAACTGGAGGAGCAGCTGGCCAAAGAGGAGAAGCGCAAGGTAGAGTTAGAGGGGCAAGAGAAAGTCCACAGTGACAGCAGTGTTCAACTTTGCCAAATGAGCTTCAACAGCAAAAAGCTTGTCTTGAAATGCTTCTGAATTATATTGCTTTGAATAGTGGTCTTCGTTATGGTCAAGTATTGTCAGTGTGCTAGAGATATGCTACAGCAGTGTGTATGTGTGAGCTAGAGCGAGTGAATCATTTTTGTGTGTTTTTATGTTGCCTGTCACGTGTGGTTTAACATTCATCACCACATTCATACATTTCACAGACATTGTCTTATTTAACAGTTATAAAAAATTAATTGCATGGTGTGAAATCTAAATCATTCCTATTTTCTACAACATGCCTGATATCATGTCATCAACATCATCCTTATTGTCATTATTAATCGAGCACTTCTGCTTAAACGCAACTCATCAGCTCATTAGAGTAGAATAGTGTGACTTTTTGGCATCAGAAACTGCTTCTTTTAGCCACTTTAGTGTCCATTGAAGCCACATGCACATTGTAGTTTAGCTCATTTCATTTAAATAAGGTACATATAAACATGTAAATGTAAAGGCATAATTGTCATTACATTCATATTGTTTTGTTTCCACATGCAGTCACAAACATTGTGTAGAACTGCACCCATACATACATCAGCCATTATGTAGTGGTTACTGTGTGAAGAATGATATGTTTGTGTTTGAATGGCTAGAAGCTAAAGATATAAACAAGGTAGATTCATCAGAAAGCAGTCATCAAAATATTTTTCCTAGGGATTGGTATAGACTGAGCACAACCTCCACCTCACTCTTTGAGCATGATGTGTCCAGATCACAGCTATGTTTGTTTGTTTGTGTGTTTGTATGTGTGATATTGTCTGTTTTCAGTCCATGTCTTTAATACTGTAATTCTTTGTGAAATTTAATTAGCATTTTGCTTCAAAATCACTAACAGCTGCAGGGAGAAAATGTAAGACATCATCTCAGAATTGGGTGTAAGAAAAAAGTCGGAATGCAGGACTATCCTTAGTTAACTAGTAATAAAAAAAAATGCATATATGCCAACCAAGATCTTCACACATTCATAGGTAAGTCTAAAAACAAATATTTAGAAAAACTCTACTCTGAAATTTAGTAGTAGAAGTATGAAAATGTAGATAGTCAGTCCCGGGCAGCATATCAGGCAGCTGGAGTGTGGCATGCAGATCGCTAACATCCGGCTTCTCACCCTATCGCGCCTCAAACCGCCGAACCCTCGGCCTGTCAGTGTGTGTGCGTCTAAGGACCACCTCACACGGTAAGTAGTGCTTGCTTTCTCTTACCGTTGCTTTCTTTCTGACCTAGCAATATGTTCTCAAGGTCCGTTTTCTCTTTTCTTTGGCCTCTTAGTAGTTTAAATGTTCAGTTTGTGCATTTTTGCATATTTTTTTGCACAATGCAGTGCTGTGCTGCCAAATGTTTTTTGCATGTTCAAAATGTAATATTTTTAAAGAAGATGATACTTGGTATTTTTGTAAATTTTTGAATGAATAAATGCATGAATGTTAGTATTGAGATGATTGCTTCTTATGCTGATTTAAGTTACTTCAGCTATGGTGGTGGGCATTTTTATCTTTCCCTCCCAGTTAAACTGTGAATAAAAATACACTGCAAATTCAAATAAGAAGCGTTTTTTAAATGTATGATTTTTTTCTTTCCATAGGGCCAAGAAATCATCGCTGGAGTAATTGACCTTGGCACCATGGAAACCTTTCCAGTTTTCCAGGCAGCACAGCATGGCCTCATAGACCAAGATACCTGTCATGTACTGTTGGAGGCACAGGTCGTCATGGGTGGTCTATTCCAGCCTGACTCCCCTGATAAACTGTCATTAGATAAGAGTCTTTCCAGTGGTTTGATTGATAAACATACCTACCAATCACTGGAAGAGTTAGAGACTGCCCTTGGTCTTGTCAACACAGTAAAATTTGCAGAGGGTCAGGAATTACCTGTAGCCACTGCTGTGAAAGAAGGCATCATAAAGGAGCTGGTGGGGCTCCGTATACTTGAGCTGCAGATAAGCACTGGCAGCCTGAAGTCTGGTTCCAGTGGAGAAATGGTCAGCCTGGATCATGCAAGGGAGAAGGGATTGTTATCCCCTGATCTTTGTCAAAAGCTGCAATCCTGTCTTCACCGGCGAGAACTTATTGATCCAAATACAGCAGAAAAACTAAGTCTGGTTGACTTTCAACAGCGATGTGTTCTCAAACAGGAGAAGGGTCTGCGCTTATTTCCAGTTAAACAGAAGCCAGGAGGAACGGTCTGCTTATGCTCTGGCAGAAAGGTGGGAATATTCTGTGCTGTTCAAGAGGGGCTTATCGACCGGCATGTCACAGTTCGACTTCTGGAGGCTCAGTTGTTTGCTGGGGGTATCACAGACCCCCGCTCAGGACACAGATTGACTGTTAATGAGGCTGTCCGGCATGGCCTGATGGATCAGGACTTGGCCTGCACCCTCATGACACGACAGCTACAAACAGGAGGAATAATAGATCCAGTCAGTGGGGAGCGTCTAGAGTTGGATGAGGCCATAAAACGAGACCTTCTCTCTCCTCGCATAGCCTTGCGTGTACTGGAATCTCTCCAGTCCTTTATGGCAATAATGTGGCCAGAATCAGGCGAGCTCCTTCCTGTAAGTGAGGCACTTCAGCAGGGTGTTGTCAATAGAGAGTTTGCTCCAAAAGCCTTGAGAAAACGTCATTCTGTTGGTGCAGTATATCTGCCTGAGAGTGGACAGGTGGTCCCTCTCCATCAAGCTGAGAAGATACTTAAGCCACAGGCAGTGGAGATCCTAAAACACATCCAGGTTCCAGATGTCATTCCCCATGTGTCTCCGTCAAGTTCCTCATATATGAAGCAATTGAGTTCTGGATCTGCCTATTCTTCATCACCCCCTGCCTCACATGCAGATATCAATTATGACTTTTCCATCACGGAGGAAGGCAGGTCAGAAGAGCAGATTCAAAACCACCTTCTCAGTCAAGTGATGACACACAGCTACATTAATGCTCATTCAGGAGAACGCCTAGTCTTACTAGAACCAGAATTGGTAGAACTAATATGTAGAAATGTCAAAACCGCAAACCTTGCCAGACCAGTCCAACTCAAAATTTCTGACAACGTTAGAGTTATGCTGGACAACAAAGATATGAGTGGGATTGAAGAGGAAAAAAATGAAGAACTCAAAATTTCACAACATGAAATTGCCTGCAGGGACTCTTATATGGAAGAGACTGTAGAAATGGCAGGGGAAGGTCTTGCACCCTTGATGGTCACCAACAGAACCTTTAAAGAGCCTTTGCATAAAATAGTTTTGCAAGAGAAAGTTCTATCATCAGAAGAGTATGAACAACCCAAGATAAAAGGTAAAATTACCTGCAAGATAACTGATATAGGAGAGGCAGTAGAAAGAACAGAATATCTAGCACCATTGACGGAAACAAAGATCACAGAGCTTTCAAATGAAGAGATTCAACAAGA